TTTGTTCAAATGGAAACATAACTTCAGACACTGCTTCGGGATATCTTTCATAAAACAAACACAATGCCTTTTGTTTAAGTACTTGGTTTTCTGGTTTTTTCAGCCATTCTTCATTTAAATTAACATTACTTAATTTTAAAAGTACATCTTCTAATGTTTCTTGTTGAGGAAATTCTTCAACCATTTTAAAAATTGTTTCTTTTCTCTCAACATTTTTTACCGCATCCTTCTTGACTTCTTTTTCTTCTCCTGTACTTGACTCTTTTTCTTCTCCATTACTAGATTCTTTTTCTGTAGTATCACTATCTTTGTCATCTTCTTTATGGTCATCACTTTCACTATCGCTTTCACTTTCACTTCCGCTATCACTCTCACTTTCACTATCATCATCTTCTTCTTCCATTTTCTTCTTTTCTTTACTTTTTTCATATTTCTTATGCTTCTTTGATGTTGCCTCACTGTCTTGAGTGACCTGTGGCTTGTTATCTGTTTCACCCATTCTGTTGTTTAATAGTTCAATTATATTCTATACTATAAAATATTATCATTAAACTATATTATTATTTTTATTTCAATTTTTCTTTGTTCAATTTCTCTTTTTTTGAGTGTTTCATATTTCTTTGTTTTTCAGTATGTCCAATTGAAAACAACAATTATCTTTCTTCTCTTTGTTATTCTTATTTAAATTAATACAATTTAAAGCATATATATCATCTGAGTCATGACATTGAGTTGTTAGTTGAAAGAGTTTTGAATGTATTGCTTTTCCTTATAGATACTATGCCAAACTAGATACAAAGTTTATATTATCAAAAACAATATTATGACATCTCATTCTTTTTACAAGAATAAAAAGTACAATGAATATTTTATATAAAATTAAGACTCTTTTTATTCTTACCATCTCTTTCAAAAAAAATAACAGTGGTTCAAAATAATAATTACTCTAGATAACAAAGTAACAAAAAGAACATTATAAAAATTAATTAACTCATTTCAATATATGTATCAGAAATAATGAAATAATTCAAAGAAATTTTAAAAATGTTCTAACATCTAACATTAATCATTAGTTGACCTATTGTATTCACATGTCCAAGTAAATAATCAAATATAGTAATCTCTTTATTATTACAAATCATATAATAATTCATTTAAATATTAGAAAATCAACTCCAAAGATTTTTTCTTGAATAGAATAAAATAAAAGCATCTGGTCAACATAAATATTCTAATTATTAACTATCCATTGATATTTTTTAAACAAATAAAATAATAAATGTTAAATAAAACCTCTCTTATATCATATATTGATACATTCTATAATATATTCAATTTTAAATTTATTATTCTGTACCTTATTACGTCTTTTACTCTTAATTTAAATTACCAAAAATAAAAAATACCTAAATAAAAAAGTACAAAGGTTAATAACCCAATGTATTTTTCGATAATACTCTATCAACCATAAACCACCTTTCAGTACTGAGTCTAAAAAATTAACTCTACAGTACTTGAATAATTTTACAATTACATTGTTAAAATAAAATATTAAATTGTGTTTTATATAACTATAAATTATAAAAAAGAAAAATAATAAAAGTATTAAAAGAGAATTAGAAAAAATATTAGAAGGAACTCAACTAAGATTTTTAACCCTAAAATAACAGACCATGCCTTTGTCTAACGGAAGAAACAGAAGAACCAGAAAATTATTTAAGAGACCATTCAGAGGACATGGACTCTCAAACACTTCAACCATTCTTCACACATACAAAGTTGGTGATTATGTAACAATCCTCTGTAACTCATCTATTCAACACGGTCTTCCATACAAAGCTTTCCATGGAAAGACTGGACGTGTTTGGAATGTTAATCCACATGCCATTGGAGTTATGGTAAATAAGAAAGTCAATAACAGAATTGTAGTTAAAAGACTTCACATTAGTCCAGAACATATCAAACCATCTGGATGCCAAAAAGACTTCCTTGAAAGAAAAGCTGCTGTTGCTGCCATTAGAAAGCAAAACATTCAATTAAAGAAAGAAGGAAAACCACTTCTTCCATTACCAGCTAAGAGACTTCCAAAACAACCAAGACCAGCTGAACTTATTAAAGGTGCTGATATCAAATTTACCACTGTTGCTCCACTTAAATTCGAAGAACTTTATTAAATGACAAGGTGTTTTGTGAGTGGAATTTCTTTCTTTATATTTTCATTTTCATTAATGTTTTTTATGAATTAAAAGACCATTTTCTTATTCGTTAATGAAGTTATTCCTTTTTTCCTTCATTTAAATCTATCAAAAACATTTTTCATGGAAAGTAGTGATATAATTCACACTCCTTGTGATGATAAAAGTTTTGATACTGAAGATTCTCCGAGTAGTGAGATATCAATTAGCTCAGAAAATGAGTCTTTTTCAAATGACAACTCACAACCAAAAGACAAAACGATTAATGACAGTCAAGAAAAAGAAGAAAAAAAACGAAATATCTGTAATGAAAAAGGGTCTATTCACGAAAATATACAACATGAAGACATGACTAAGGAAAAAATAGTTACAAAAACTCCAACACAAACACCAACAACTAAAAATTCTTCATTTGGACAGAAAGGGCAACCTTCTCTAATTTCTATTAAGGAGTTATCTATTTCTAAATCACCCCAACCAAAACAAGAAAAAAAATTAAATATTGAAGTGGTAGAATGTAAATCACCAACAAGTCCTATTATTTCTCCACGACAAAAATTTACACCAAGAGCATCAATGATTCAATTAGTTAAAGGATGTCCAGAAGAACAAATTATAATAGGATATCCAGTTAGTTTAATGAATAGGAATGATGTAATTAATTTTAAAGGACCAATGAATGGACAATTAACATTAACTAATTATAAAGTAGTATTTGTAGTTAAATGTGTAATATTTAATGTTAGTATTCCATTAACAAAGATTGCAGATTTTAAGAAAGTCAATTCTATGGATAAACAACACAAAAGATTATTTTATTTAGAGACAAAAGATAATAGAAAGTATGTTTTTTCATTTGAAAATAGAAGAGATGAAAGAAAGCAATTTAATTTGAATTTATTAGAATCAGTATTTACAACAAATCCAGAAAAAATGTTTATTTATCATAGTAATTCACCACCAATTTCACATAGTTATTATCAAATAGCTGTTGAATTTGAAAGACAAGGAACACCAGATACATGGAGAGTATTTACTGGAAATCAAAATTATGAATTAGCACCAACATATCCATCATTAACATATGTTCCAGTAAATGCAAGTGATGAAATTATTAAAGATTCAATGAAACATAGGAGTAAAGGAAGATTTCCTGTTTTAACATGGTATAATAAAAAGAATGGATCTGTCATTGTTAGAAGTGCACAGCCATTACCTGGAATGGTTACACCAGTAACAGGTAAGAATACAAGTGGTGATGTTACATATCTTCAATTAATAGATGAAACAACAGGAAAAAGAGGTATTCATGTTTTAGATTCAAGACCAAAACTAAATGCCTATACAAATAAAGCTGCAGGTGGAGGATATGAAGATGAAACAACATATCCATTTGTTAAAGTAGAATTTGAAAATATTGATAATATTCATGTTGTTAGAGAAGTATGGACAAATGTTGCATTAGCTGCATTTAGTTGGGAAGGAGAACTTGAAGAACAAAAATTTATGAAATTACCAGAAGTAAAAGAATGGTTCAATCTTATTGAAACAATTTTTGTAAGTGTTAAAAAAGCAATTAGATATCTTACTAAAGGAGAAAGTCTTTTAATTCATTGTTCTGATGGATGGGATAGAACAAGTCAATGTTGTTCATTAGTAGAACTATTACTTGACAAATATTATAGAACATTAGAAGGATTTATTGTTTTAATTGAGAAAGATTGGAAATCATTTGGACATCAATTTGAAAAAAGAAGTGGAATAGGAGTTGTTTGTCCTCATGGACAATACTCTCCTATTTTCTTCCAATTTTTAGATTGTGTTAATATTCTAATACATCAATTTCCAGATGATTTTGAATTTAACGAACAATTTCTTTTAGAATTAAATGATGCTATATTTTGTTCTGATTTTGGAACTTTCATGTTTGACTGTGAAAAGACAAGAAAAGAAAGTGGTGTTGAACTTCAAACACCATCATTTTGGGAATATGTTGTTGGACAGAAATGTAAATTTATTAATCCAAGTTATAAAGATGAAACAGAAGAATTAATACTTGAAGACAAACAACCAAAATTAATTCTTTGGACAAAATATTTCACAAGATACAAAATTAAAATGTCACGATGAATTTAAGGTTATACATCACAAATAATTAAAAAGAGATTTTATATTGGATTGTTTTAAGGTTTTAATAATGAGAAAAATAAAAAGTCACCTCTGAAGAAAACTGAAAATAGGAAAAATTCCAAAAATACAAGGAAGGAACTTATAAAATAACGTAAGGAACTATGAAGTTCACCTTCAGTAAAAAAGAAGAAAGACACTATTTAAAGACTGACAAAAACTGAATTGAACATTCAATAAATATGGGAGACGAAGAAGTTCAAGCACTTGTTGTAGATAATGGATCAGGAATGTGTAAAGCCGGATTTGCTGGTGATGATGCACCAAGAGCTGTATTCCCATCCATTGTTGGTAGACCAAGACACGTTTCAGTTATGGCTGGTATGGGTCAAAAGGATGCTTATGTTGGAGATGAAGCTCAATCAAAGAGAGGTATTCTTACACTTAAATATCCAATTGAACACGGTATTG